ATTAATATCCTCCAACCCAACCACCCTAAAATAGCGGACTTTTGACTTTCTATTTTTTCATGGATTGGATTTCAGCTTCTCTGAAATAGTGGCTAGAAGAAACCAAGATCTTATAGATTATCATTTTTTTTTCCTAAACCACTTGAGAGCAAGGTGCAGACAGAATGCCTCATCACTACTAAACACTGTCGGGCACATATCCCCCACACAAGGGCATCCTTCTGCATAACTACAATGTGAACATCCAGAGCAGGTAGTCAGCATTGATAAGGCACTATCGTCCAATTCACAGACCTCATTCAATTTTTGCCAACCGTTTATTTTTCCTGTCTGGTCCAGGACCCAATCCAGCATCATTTGTTGGATTTAGTTGTCACATCTCTTAAGTCTCCTTTGACTTAGATCAATTCGATCTTCCATCTTTCCCTCTCATAAACTTAAGAGTTTTAAAGAATACAGATCTTCCATTTTGTGAGATGCCTCTCACTGTGGGTCCACCGAAAGTTTTCCTATGTCCAGATTCAGGCCACGCATTCTCAACAGGAATGCGACAGAAAAGATGCTGTGCTGGTCTCTGCACATCACAACAGGAGGTATGAGATGTGACCAGTTTTACTACTGGTGATGCTGATCTTGATCACTTGGTCAATTTGGTGTCTTCCAGGGTTCTCTTCAATAAATTAACCATTTCCCCCCTTGTCGTCAATAAGTACATTTCAGAAGCTACTTTGAGAGTAGGCTAGCATCCTGCTTCACATCAAACACCCACCCACCCACCACCCTCAGCACCCACTGAGAACTCCTGCCTGAATCAATGGACATTGCCCAAGGGTGACTTTCTATTTCCATCAATCTTAGTTGGCCTTCTTCCACAAGAAAGAGCTATCCTTCCTTCCTCATTTATTTGTTTATTCTATCATTATTTATTTACCCATTTATATTAGCATGGATTCACGGATTCTTGTTTTATCCAATGGGTTATTATCAGTTACTATCATTAATTATTTTGATGCTCAAGCTGTCCCAGATTTGGCCAGTGGGAGCTCCATCCAGCTGGCTCATGTGCCCTTTGGCATGTTCTTGTCATGCTTTGAGCACTTCCCTCCAAGTTTACTTTGCACTTTCCCAGCTCAAGCAGCCCTGGCTCCTTCTAAGAGAGAATGGCACTTAGAAGCCAAGATCCTCTGATCACTTGATGTGTCCATTGCTTCTAGCCTCTGAGTGAAGACAGCTCTGGTGTGTGTATGTATATATATGTAGGTTCATATATATAGGTGTACATATATACATCTATATATAATGATTTTGCACTCATTTTTAATCCAGTCCAACACCTCATAGTTCTTTATAGCTTTCTTTCTTTCCATATTTATAAATTCCTTTTCCAATACTAAAAATCCCAGTTCCCAATATAGTTAATATTTCACATACCTGCCCAATGCCCCTGCACTTAACCAATCTCCCAGCCAGAATGCTGCCTCCTTAATCCTGCAACCTCTTCGGCCTCAGGAGAGAAAGGGTAGGAGGTAATTGTGCATTCTGAATGACAGAGGCTCCCCAAGGGTTGTGGCTGGAGAAGAAGTTATAGAAACCTCTCTATAAGGCAGAGAGAGGTTTGGGGAACCACCTTGGTCTGCTAAGGAATCTGTACAGAACCTAGCTGGGGGGTGGG